GCCTGCATCAACCCGTGGGCCAATTCATCCAGCTGCTCATCCGAAACATCCGCTTGCGTCCCAAACGCCACGTAGACGACCGAGCCAACCGGCTGCCGGTCGAGCCACCGAATGCAGTCTGAGTCAACCGGTTTGGTTCCGGTTAGAAGGTTTAGCGGACCGACGAGCCACGCTCGTCCTCCGGCCACCGGTTCGTAGAACGATTCCAGTAGTTTAACGTACGCCGACGGCTCCAGCTCGGCAAAGCTGTTGACTATTACCCCCCAACTCCCGACGTCCATTTCTTCGTTCGACTTCATGGACTGAGTCAACGGGTCAAGGGGGTTGACTACTTGACGCACGAATTCTGGCACATCGGTCATGGTGAGGCGGAGAGTCGGTGGTGCTCCGACAATCGGGAAGGTATCGTCGTCGGTAGAAACGGTTGGAATATTGGGCCAAAGAGACTTGATGAGGGAAATGGAGAAGGTGGAGGAGCCGTGGAAGACGAGGCGGGGAAGGCCGAAGCGGGAGGATATGCGCAGAGTCCAGCCGAGGAAGTAGTCGGAGATGAGGCAGAGGGGAGGGGTGGGGGAGAGGAGGAGGCGGCGGAGGATGCGTAGGAAGGGGTCGTGGAGAGAGTTGGTGGCTTTGATAAAGGTGGGTAGAAGGGAGAAGGTGGGGAGGGAGTCGGTGGACTCGACGCCGGCGGGGAGGTCGGGGTGGCAAGGAAAAGGGATTGCGAAGAGATCGACGGTGACGGCGGGGGCCTTGGAGGAAAGGTAGTCGCGGCAGAAGGGGAGGTTCGCCGGAGTAGTGATGAGGGTGGTGAGGATGTTGCGGGATGAAAGGGCGGCAGCGAGGTGGAGGAGGGGGATCGTGTGACCTTTGGATAAGAAGGGAAACATAATGACGTGATCTTCCTTTGCGGCGGCGGCGGCGGCGGCCATTTTTTATGTTTTGTATGTAGAAGCAGCCTGCGCGGCTTTGTAGAGGGGATCTGGTTTGTTAATGAGAAAATTAGGGAGATGGGTTTAAGTCGTGGTTTAAATGATGGCCATGAGAAGGGCCTACGTTGAAATTAATAATTAAGCACGATTATGTTAGGTTTAATCATATTGAAATAGTCAATGGATGTTAATTATTGAGCTATATTTTTTTAATCCATACGTATCAAATCCACCTAAACCCACCTAAGCAATATTTTTTAGGTGTAAACTTCAAAAACAATGTATGCTGCGAGATTTTTTTATCCAGTTTTTATTTTGGGACTGATTTCTTACTGCTTTTTAAAACATCGTGATCGTAAAAAATTATTTATTTTTTTGTTTTAGAAAGTTGTTTTAAGAAGTAATTATTGTGTTCGGACACCGAATGCGTCTAGAGACCAATAACAAAGCGTCACGTGACTTGGGTGCTTGGTTTTGTGCTCGATATCGCACTAGCGCAGCAGTAAGAATGCCGTCTCAAACGAAGTCTTAGGCTTCATTTAGGATGGCTTTGTTACTGCTTTTTAAAGATGCTTGCAGTTATAAAGTTTTTATTTTTTACTATAAAGCTTCTTTAAGAAGTAATAAGACAGCGGTCCAAACGAAGCCTTAGGCTTTGTTTGGGACGGCTTTTTAATGTTATTGAATCAGCTTTTAAGTATAACAATTAAAAATTTTGCATTAGAAAACTAATTCAAGAAGCAGTTAAAAAGCCATTCGAAATGAAGCCTTAGGCTTCGTTTGGGATGGCTTTCTTCTTGCTTTTTAAAGCAGCTTTATAGTACAAATTTTTTAATTTTTGTACTATAAAGCAGTAAGAAAGTCGTCTCAAACGAAGCCTTTTTGCCTCATAAAACAGTTTTCTAGTATAAAAAATGTAATGTTTGTATTAAAAAGGTACTTTATGAAGCAGTAAGAAAGCTGTCACAAACGAAGCCTCAGTCTTCATTGGGGATGACTTTCTTGTTGCTTCTTAAAACAGCTTTTTAGTATAAGAAATTTAATTTTTATATTAAAAAATTACTTTAAAAAATAACAAAAAAGCCATTCGAAACAAAGCCTTAGTTTGAAAAAAAATTTTACTACAAAAATATTTTAAAAAATAGTTAGCAACTTTATAATTCTTTTGAGATTAAATTAAGATAAATTTGTACAACAAATGGATTAAATTAGGATCACTCGGGATCATTTTGGTTCAATTATATATGTCAAAAGATTAAATTTGAATAATTTTGATCACACACCAATAGTGTGGATATTATTTAATTTTTTTTATTAAATATTATATTATGACTAAATAGCACGTGAATATTTTTTTAATAAAAATCTTATATTATGACTACTTGACACATTAATTATTAATTAATTGAAATATATGACATTCATATTTAGTAAAATTAGTCTCTCTGTATTTATTATTTTCTCTAATATTCAAGAATCAACGGGTTATTGACTTGAAATGCAATACTTAAACCTTGAAAATTAAAATTTTCTATAAATATATTATAACTAAAAGTTGATCTTAAAATTTGTCAGTTTTTAAATTTTTTAGAGAATCATAATAATCAAATAAAATTTATAATTATTTACAGTACAATAAATTTAATATATTTAAATTTATCATAATAAAGAATTTACCAATCAAATTTTTTTATTCTTTAAAGCCAGTTTTTTACTTAATTATAATTATTATATTTTTATTAAAGTTTATTTTTTGTAATTTAATTGTTTCAATGAAGCCGATGCTTTTCAAGCAGAAATTTCCTTAATTGCTATCCATGTAATACGAGTCTATTTATCTATAATTGATATTAGTTCTTATATTTAATTAATAAATATTTAAAATAGAGTTTATTATTTGAAGAAATAATAAACTTTGTTTCATAATTTAAAAGCTCCATCAAAATCCAAAATAATCTAAAACATAGCATTTATATTTTTAATTTTAATAAATAATAATTATTAGTTTTTTACAAATAATAATCCAAAATTCTCCAAAATATAATAAAATTTTTAAAACTCATAATAAAATAATTATAAATATTAAATATCATAACTGAATATATTTAGAGCACTTTTTTCGTAGATTAAAGTTAAGCTCAACTTAACAACAATGATTAAGACTTCGTTTGGGATGACTTTTTTGTTGCTTATTGAAGTAATTTTTTAGTTAAAAAATTTTATATTTTGAATTAAAAGCTGCTTTAAGAAGCAGGAGGAAAATCGTCTCAAATTAAACCTAAGTTTTCATTTGGGACAGTTTTTTTAATGCTTCTTAAAATATCTTTCTAGTACAAAAATTAAATTTTTTATACTAAATAGTTGTTTTAAGAAGCAGTTGAAAAGTCGCCACAAATGAAGCCTAAAATTTCATTTGGGATAGCTTTTTAATTACTTTATAAAGGGATAGCTTTTTAATTACTTTATAAAGCAGCTTTTAAATAGAACTAAATAAATTCAATCCTAATCAAACTATGTATGTAAAACAAATACAGATTTGACTAAACAAAGATGTTTGTCTCTTTGCTGCAAGACAAGCCAAACCATTCATTCAATAGAATCCCACATCATTTGCCAAAATCATGGCTACACATTGTATGATATAAATTTCCAAGCTTTGGAGGGGAAAATGGCTAAGCTATTGAGAACACCATATATTGTCCCATCTCAAATTGACCTTAAGAATATATAAAACATTTAAGATTGTGTCAAAATAAGGATTTTGGAATTGAGATGAATATCTTGTTAGAGTTTTTGCAAGGCTGAGTTTGGCTTAAGAATTTAGCTTTTGAAAGGTAGAAAGTTGAAAGACAGACTTCTTGTCTTGTTTGTTCTTCATGTTATCAGAGCGGGTTTGAAGAATTCCGGTTCTATGGCAAGCTCGGTCACATCTCCGATCGGAGAGCACACAAATCCGGCAAATTTTGTTGTCCCGATCATTCCGTCTACCTTAAAGTTCATCATCTCCAATCTCAAAAGTTTCACTCCAAATCAACTCACCTCCGACAACTATTCTCTTTTGAGATCTCAGATTATCAAAAAATTTCGTGTCAACGGGTTTGAATAATTTCTTGATCCTACCTCTCCTACCCCTGTGCGGTTTTTACATCAAATCGATCGTTCCACCATTTCCCATTCTCTATATACTCAATGGCTTCTAACCAATCAAAACTTGGCCTCCGCCTTCTGTTCCACCATCTATGCATCCATGCTTTCTTATGTCGTCAATCTTGAATCCACATCAGCTATATGGTCCACGCTCGAAACTCATTTTCAATCCACCAACCAGTCCAAAATGATTCAACTCAAGAACGAGATTCATCATATCTCCCTCAAGACCTCAACCATGATGCAATATCTCACCGAAATCAAATCTTTAGTCGATCAAATAGCTGCTGCTGAATCGACCGTCGACACAGAAGATATAATTATGTACATTCTTAATGGGCTTCCCACCTCATATCAATCTTTTAAAACTGCAATCCGCACTATGCTGACTCACATTAGTCTTGATAATCTTTATTATTTACTCATCAGTGAAGAAATAAACTTAGCTTCTGCATCGCCCGCCTTGCTCCTGCTGGCGATCAATCCATGGCTCTTTTCACGCACAGGGGATGAGGTCACCAAAACAGAGGACACTCATCACCAAACATAACTTCCAACCAACGTTCTTCCCAAGTTTCCTCCACCATATGTCAAATCTTCTCCAAGAAAGACCACTTCGCACCTAGCTATTGCCATCGGTTGAATCTGAACTATGTCCCGCAGCCCACAAACTTTTCGAACAAAGCCTTAGTCGCTGGCCAAACTAACTCTTACACAGATTTGTATCTTGACTCGGGAGCCTAGTCACATCTCACCAACTCTCTTGACAATTTGTCGATCTCTTCTCCCTATCAAGGCTCCGACGACATAACGACAGGTGATGGGCGATTGGTTAGCATTGCTCATTCTGGAGTAGGCTTGTTACCGACACCCTCTCGTAAGCTAAATCTATCTCAAATCCTTCACACCCCGTCTCTTCATTACAATTTGCTATCTATTTCTCAACTCACAAAAGATAATAACATTTCGATCAATTTTTATCCCTCTGGCTTCATCCTTAAGAATTTGAAGACACAACATGTTCTTCTTCGCAGACCCTGCAGTAATGACTACTCGATCTAACCATTGGCATAACCGGTTGGGACATCCTCATAGGCATGTTCTCAATCTCATAGCCTCCTGCAATTCGAAACTTCATATAGATACACATTTTGTTTCTTGTCATTCTTGTAATACGGCTAAAGCCCATAAACTTTCGTTTGCTAAATCTATAAATCGCAAACAGACTCTTCTTGCTTTAGTCCACTCGACCGTCTGGGGTCCAGCTCCTGTTGTCTCAACTACTGGATATAACTACTATGTCATATTCGTGGATGATTTTTCTCGTTTTGCGTGGTTATCTCCAATGCGCAATAAATCAGAAGTTACTAATATTTTTATTACATTTAAAGCTCACATTGAAAAATATACCTCCTGTCAAATTAAATGCTTATGCACCGATGGGGTGGTGAATACCGCAACCATGCGCTCACTCAATTTCTTTAAACTCACGGTATCTCACACCAAATCTCCTGCCCGTACACCCCGAAACAGAATGGTGTCGCTGAAAGGAAACACCACCACATTATTGAAACAAACCTAACCCTTCTTTAGACTACCTCATTTCCCTACATACACTAACCTGATACTATTTTGACTTTGATGTATCTCATAAACATAATACCCTCTCCTACCACTCTCAACGTCTCCCCCTTCAAATTATTACATAAACTAAAATCTGACTACAGTCGCTTACGCACCTTTGGTTGCGTGTGCTTTCCCCCATCCTCATCCTCGCCACAAATTTCAACCTAAATCTCAATCATTTGTTTTCTTGGGCTACTCTAACATTTATAAAGGCTACAAGTGTCTTGATATGGTCACCAATAAAATTCTCATGCCTAGGCACATTCTCTGTAACGAACAATCTTTCCTGTTCGCTCAAACCTTCCCTCCACTCAAGCCCTCCAGTCCTATATCTCCGTTTCTTCTAACACCT